TCTCAATACGGAACTAAAACATTTTATTCGATTCGATGACGATCCTAACAATTTAGAATCGAGATAAGGCTTTAAGCCTTGTGTGACCAACTTGATTTTACTTTTAAAATAAAATAAATGAATTATCACTCGAAAATGATTTCAATCAACACAATAACATCAAGCAACTTGTCGGTAGTTGTTTGTAAATATCCGAGAAAAAAAAATGTTGAAAATTATTTATTATTTTTAAAAAAGAACGACTCAAATGGTGATTAATAGTGGAAACATGTGAACTGGGTGGTCAAATCTGTTATGTGTGCTGCTTAATTTTTTATTTTTCATACATTTACACGAAAAAAAAGAGGCTATATGTATTGAAATGGCGCGTTCATTTAAAAAATCGTTTATCTAAAAGCAAGCTGGTTCCAAAGCTAGTAGTGAGTTTCGGGGCTTAAAACATATATTTTTTGCTTCCATGAATGAGAAGCATTTTAAAGTCATTTATTATGTCATTATGACCAACAAGTGTTAAGTGTGCAATTAATGAGTCTTTAATATTATTATGATAGCAATTTATAATATCCACCCAAAACCTCACATCACCATCATTATAGTTATTTATTATATAAACGTGTGAATATTAAATCAAAATTGAATTTTTTTTTTGCTATGTGTCTACGTAATTAGTTCAGTAGAGACATGTGAGACTGAAATTTATGAGATTTAAATTAATTTTTGAGTGTCAGATGTCCCACCTCTTCTGGATTGATTTCTTTTTTGTGAGTTTTTTGGGGAATTTGTGGTTAAATTTGGATGAATTGTTGATTTTTGAAAGAATTTGGTAGAATTTTTTGTGATGTTAGTTGAAATTCGTAAGAAGGGAAAGGTGTGAAGGCAGGTGGAAATGAAAAAATTTCTGTCAACTTTGGGAGATTTGTCCTCCAAATCCCCGCTAGCTACGTGCCTGGGTAGGGGTCTTTAGGCAAATCCACAACCAAGTTGGGTTTATTTTGACAAAAGTTGCCAACATTAGCTTAGAACTCAAACCTAGTCTCCCAAACTCTAGTCTTTTCCATCTTAGTCTACCCCATCCTAGTTCAAACTTTCCTAGTCTATGCCATCCTAGTTGGCCCCCCAAAAATTCCAACAAAATCATATCAACCCTACAAAACTCAAATCAACTCCTCAAAACACATCACACCTCCATAAAACCATAAATTCTCAATAAAATATTTTTGAAATATTTTTCTTTAATTCATAAAAAGTATCACTCACAGCTACTTACTTTAATATTAATGAGATGCCATTTATCATCGCTTTGAAGAGAACTTTATTTTTAAATTTAATTTTTATTATGTCACTCCCTATTTGAAATGTGTTTTTAAATTCCCTTCCGTGAGATTGACAATATCTCACAGTATAAATATTTATTTTTTTTTTGCGGTTATTTGTTTTATTTTTTGAGATTACGGAATGACTTTTTTAAGGAGGACACTGGGAAGTTTCTGCGAATTTTATTGAATAAATTCAATTTTAATTTCATAGTTCTTAAATAACAGCTAAGCTTATAAATTGTAAAAAGAGTGTCTAAACCTTGTTGTGACTTTAACAATTTTTTTTTTTCTTGACAAGATAAATTTTTGATGGATTTTTAAATGATTTTAGTGACGGTGTTTTTATGAACTTGATCTAAATTGATGATTATTCTATACTAAAGACATTTGATACTTAAAATCCTAGGTGCAGCTTTAAAACCACATCAAAAATAGATAAAACATTAACAAATTGACGCCAATATTTCATCCATCCTCAACAATAGACTTCAAATCTACCCCAAATAAACCTCAAATCTCCGGAAAAGATCAAAAAAGTGCATAATTTACTTTAATTAACCAAAACTATCCAACACTTTTTCGAAGACCTTTTTTTCTCTGATTCTTCATCATCGACCATACAGACATGATCAATTGCGACTCATTAATCACTCATTGAGTCTTAAAGTACAAAGCAAAAAAAGCACTTTCGATAACCTATTATGAGGTCTCTTCTATTTATCTCTTCTCCTTTTTTCAACTTTTTTGTTATTTTTCATCATTATTGTGAAGATGAAAAGAAAACATCAAAACATCAATCCATCAGTTGCGCATTGGAAATCAGTTAAGAAATACCTGAAAGACTATTTTTTTTCTGTGTCTTATTAACTTTAAATGAAAATGGCATTGATTTTTAATGTGATGGATTTCCTCATCATGTTCTATAGAAAATAAATAACAAATTGCATCAAATTTATCAAAATCATCTTGACTAGAATCACACTCAAGGGTAGGTTCAAGTCGTTTTAAACTTTAAATTCTTGAAACGCATCTTGTTAAAATACAATAAATAAATAAATTAACAATTTTTAAAGTACTGCTGTTTACAGCACAAAAGAAGACAAATGCGAATACGCCCTTATTGTTACTAATTTATTACTGACTTGACTGGATGTTATTTTAAAATAAACATTCGGTATGGGAGCTCAAATGGGGTTAAAATAGATAATTTATTGTCAAATTTTTTCCTCATTTGGCTTTTGTCGGTGCTGCTGCTGATGTTGGTGGCATTTTTATTCTATTTTGATCCTTTCAGGAATTTTAAGATGAATTGATTGAAGCATTTTTAATGACAATGAGGATTGAATAAACATATGTTGAGGATCTTTAATTTCAATTGAATTCGAATTGAGAAGGACTTTTCTGGAACTGGAGATTTTCCTTAAAATAAGGACTTGGTTTGAAGGTCATTAAGGTTTGATGTCGTATTTTTGAGGTTATTTGCAATAATAGCTGATGTTAACAAAGCATGAAAAATATATTAAAAATTTGATGAGATATTCGAACTACATTCAACGGTCAGTCTACGCCAGTGTTGCCCAGACTGTGTGCCACGGCACACTAGTGTCCCGAACTGCATATTCTGTGCCCTTTTGGGTGTGGAATAACTAAGGTGTGGCACAAATAAGTTTGAACTACACTGTTTTAAACCCTTGCATGACTTTTGGTGTGAGTCTAATAAAAATGATCAGAAAAATTATTAAAGCTAATCAAAATATGAACAGTTCTTCACTCTTGTCTATTCCATCATCCTCAATGCTTACCATTCTAATAATATAAGGAACAGTGTCTTCAATTATCCTTCTTCAAATCAAGATTCAACTCAATAGAAACCTTTGTTCAAATTACGATTCAATTCAATAGAAACCTTTGTTAAAATATGCAATTAGAGAACAAATTAAGCCTCAATCTCATTCCAATCATATTAAAGAAGTATTTGCAAATAAAATCAAATTAGCAAAATAAAGAAGCCATTTGTAATTTGCAAGATATTCCGTAGGATTAAACTTAAGTCAAAGCACATTGATTTGTAATTGGTTGTTCAATAATAGTGAAGCTTTGTTAACTGCGTGTTAATATTACAAGATTTAAAATTTTTTAAATGTTTCTGTATTGATGAAGATTAGTTGCTGTTGTGGTAGCAGAAGAGTGCACTTTACTCAACTTAGTTGATTATTTCTGGACATCGAAATGTTCATTCCTTCTCAAAGTTCTTGTCAAAGACAGAACAAAGCTATTTTTTGTTTGGAAATAAAAAAAAAAGTCTTTGGAAAACCAAGCATAGCATCACACTGACTTAAGATGACAATTGAATTATTCTGAATTTAAAAAAGTTGATTTTTGTTTTAAATTCAAGAAATTAAACAAAATTGAAAAAAATTGCAAGATCAGTCGCAAAAAATCACTGAATTATGTCCAACTGTACATTAAAGAAGTTTAATCAAAATTCTTCAGACTTCATTAAATGCTTAATCATTGTGAAACTTGAAAAATGACTCAATGACTATTTCCTGAAAAATTCTCAGAAGTCAAAATCGGGGATGTAATTGAAAAAATTGGTCTCTGTGGAATTGTTTACTGCACAGTAAGGTATATGAATAGACAATTCATTTGAATTAATGATTTTAGACTAGCCAAAATTAAAGCAGAATGTAGAATGTTTTAAATCAAATAAAAATTATCAAGAACTATAGCTTAGCTATCCTTTTTGAGTAAGAAACAGAGAATTGATTTTTGAGTCTATTCTTTAATAATGTGACAGAGTTCCAGCCAAGCGATGGGTTACTACACGTTATGACGAGCTGAAGGCACTGCGATCCTGATCGATAATAGAATCTATTGTACTCTAGTCTGTTCCTTAACTTTATGATGCTTTTGAGGAATTTTAATATGTTCAACCGTTTCCTCATCATAAATTCCATAAACTATCTAATGATCTACAGCTAATTATATGAAAATTGAATTTTTATCATCAAAATCTTCACAAAACCCTCAACCAATCCCAACAAAAAAATTCATCACGACTATCCCATAAAATTCCCATCACAAAAGACACCAACCAAAAAAATCACAACTGTGCAAAAAAAAAATAAATTAAATTTTCAAGTCACACACGCATCCATCCACAAAGAGTCATCTGACCTTAACTTTGACATAATGAACTCACGACAATATGAAATTAATTGCAAATCACATCTTGAGCAGCAACAGAAGTAAGCTAAAGGAACTACTTTATGGAATGTTCATGAACAGACAGAAGCAAGTACTACCCCAAATATAGAAATGACACGCAAACTGCTGAGCAAGACAAGGAAAAAAAATAAATAACAAAAGGCAAAAATTAAAATTCGTTGAGCATGCAGCATAAAAGTTAATCCTGAGTCACATGTTGTGGACTACTTTTCTTTATTTTTGAGGATAGTAAATCAGGATAGAGGAAATATGTTTTTGAGGAATAAATCTGCAGTGATTTCTGACATTCCAGAATGAGAAAAATGTTGACCAATGGAACAGTATTGAAATGAGCCAGCAGATTTTTTAGTTGTTGTGCATTATTTATAGGAAAAAGACATGACTGCATGTTTATTGTCTATTTGACTATGTGCTTGTCAATCTATCCTTTGACTGTTTATCTCTTTGGATGTAGCTTCGTCCCTCAATCCCACTGTTCCTATTTCCCCCTGTCTCTAAGACTCACTGTCCTTCTGTTTCCATGCCCTAGCTCATGTTTCTTAATCTCATGACTAAGTCTATGTCTTGTGACAGCTAAATTGCAATGTTTTAAGAGCTCAGAGTATAACATGCTGTGGCTTATGTCCAGTTATGCTAGATAGTAAACATAAATGCGCTTTAGACCCAAACCCTTACAATCATGAAGACTATATCCTTAAAATTTCTTCTTTTGTAGTCGAACGGCTGCTTTCGAGGGTATATCCATATTATATACACAAGAAATCGATATTTTTTCAGCCTTTTGTTATAAAATGTGCAAGTATATAGCAGAGAAAGGAGGATGACGATGATGTTGATATTTTTTTATATACAGAAAATATATTTATTTTTTTCACAGAGAAGGAAAGGAACAGCATGAGAGGAAAAAAAATTATTGCAAAATGGCGTCAAAAAATAAATTTTTGTGCTTACCAATTCCTGCAACATGAATCTTCTTCATCCACGGATAAATAATGCGTTCACCATCGCTTGTCGTCGTTCCATCTAAATCATCATCGGAATCAATTTCATCGTCTAGGTCGTTGTCTTGTGAGCCTAATTCGTCCGGCGATCGATCTAGTAATAATCGATCGTCATCATCGAGCATGTCTTCCTGTAATCAAATTTATTTTTATGAGTTAATGCGGGTGATTTTTTTGTGGATTTAAAGTTTTTTATTTATTACTTGATCTGAATTGCCGTCATCTAGACATCTCAATCGCATTCCTAATTCTTGAAGTTGTTGACCAGCAGGAACTGCTTCTTCTATTCGTTTGTCTAATTTCATTCCTGAATGAAAAATATAATTTAATTGGATTAGATTTTATGATTTTGATGTTTTATTTTAAATTATTTTAATTCAATGTCTTGGCAATTGTAAGACTTAAAATGAATCACAATAAAAAATACAAAATAAAAATTTTTTTGAAAAAAGATTAAGTAATTCAGAAGAAAGTTTAAATTTTAAAGGATTTGAACCTTATTTTTCACTTTCAAGCCAATATTTTTAAATTAAATAAGTATTTTAAATTTAATTTTGCACAAAAGCATTACTTAAGTTATTAGCAAATATTAAAAAGGTTTAATTTCAAAATTTTGCATTAAAACTTGTAAGGGATCGTTCACTAATGACGTACAAAATTAGGGGAGAGGGATTTTGTGACAACTTAAACAAAAGATTTTTTTTTCGATAGAAGTTTTGTGACAGAGGGGGGGGGGGTTGAAAATCATGTTTTTTATGGACGTCATAGGTGAATTTTCTCATTATTAAACATTTAAAAAATTAACTTAGTTTTTTTAATAAAAAAAAATAATTTTCTGCAGTAATCAAATAATTATTATATTTAAATTTAAAATAACATTCTTAGGATTTGAACCTTCATCTTTTCATAAGGACTTTAATTTGAAGTGTTTAATCATTTTAATTGTTATCAGTTGTTCACATTTGAAGAACATAAACCAATTTTTTCAAAAAAATTACAAAAATCATTTTAAATTTATTAAAATATAAAAACAATTTTTTCAATATTACCAATTAAATTTAATATACAATTCAAGTATATTAAGAAAAAAATTAATCATCATTTGTTCTTCATTTGCCGTCGCCAAACAAATATTCATAAAATAATTTCAAAATTCCCAACAAAAAGAAAAGAGTCAAAAACAAAGAGCAAAAACATAATCCATTTATTTGTTTATTTAAAATATTTATCACATACCTAATTCTTGTAATCCTAAAGCTGTATTGGTAGGTGGCTCTGCCGAACTCGGACATTGTAAAGGCAAATCCTGTGGATTATGATGCCCATTTGTATTTGTATAATAATTATTATAATATCCCATATTACTATCGACATTTGGTGAATTTTCACTAACATTTAAACCATTCACTACAGATTGAACTGGAATTGCATTTGTGCCCGTATTTGACACGGCTGGAGCTTGAACTATATTACTACTTCTATTACCAATGCCACCATTATTATTACTACTATTACTATTATTATTTATTACATTTGTTACATAAGAATTCGTGGTTTGGGGTACTAAATTTGGGGATGCGGCATTTGCAGGATGCATTTGGGGTGAACCATAAGGCGGATGATGATGGTGATGATAAAATGAATGTGTCGTAGGCGTGGGTGCATAATTTCCATAATTATAGCTATTATGATAAGAATAATCCACGTGATTTGCTGCTAATCCATTCATTGCACCATATCCACTATGATGATGATGCAGATGATGGAAGTCTGGTTCACTTGGTGGGAATTTTGGCTCATAAGCCGCTCCCGTTCCACCCATTGAGCCTTGAACGTGAGGATAACTCATTAGAAATGAGCTCATCTTTGTCATGAATTTTTAGTTTTGGTTTCGTATTTTCTGCACTTAATTTTATTTTTTAGTGACTTTTTTTGGTTCTTTTGAAAATTGTTTTAAGTTTTAATCACGATTTTATGCACTTATTCATTAGGTTTGGATTTATTTTTATTGTGTGTTATTTATTTATGATTTTAAAATTGTTTTATAATTTTTTGATGGCATTTTTAAGTTTTTGAGTAGCTTTTTTCACTTTTAAATCACAGAAACAATTTGTTTAGTTTGAAATTAAATGTTTTTTGGGATTATTTTCCCAACCTTTATGAATTTTAACTTGATTTATGGTAATTTGAAAATTTCGAACACAATATTTTAATTTCAATTCTTTAAATGCTTTAAAAAACTGTTTTAGAGTTTAAATTAGATGCAATTTGGATAACGACCGTCGTTAATGTTAAAAATAATAAAAGTTAAAAGTTTAATTGTGATTTAAAAATGGTTTTGAATTCAATTATATATTTAGATCGTCAATTTTTGTTGAATTTCATTGAGTTTTGTTTAATTTCGGTGTTTTTAAAATTGTTTGAATTCTTTTTAATTTCAAAATAAGCTATTGTTGAATTTATTTTAGCTCAAATAAGAATTTCTGAATTGAAAATAATTCAAATTTATAAAAGAAAATCTTGTTTTGCTACAAAAATTGTTTATTTTTGATAAATTTTTTGAATTTTTCATCAAAACTTAATTATTTTATAAATTAAAACACAGAATTTTTGAATCAAATTTTTATATTTTGTTAGATTTTCAAGCTTTTTGGCCAATTTTTACATCAATTTTTTATCATTTGCTCACAAATTCACTTCAAATCATTCTCATTATTGCTTAATTTCAATTGAAATAATTTATTAAATTCATTTGTTATCAATTTTTCCACTTTATTCTCACTTCAATTCTCCAAATTCATCACTTTTCACTGCTTCTTATATTTTCCATAGCATCCACTAATTCCATCCATAAACAAATAAATGCACAACTTCATTGCATTTTCAATATCTTCAATTCAGATTTAAAAACATATGAAAAATAAAAATATTATTCCGACTTTATTAAAGCACGTCCGATCGCGTCACATGAACAACGTTAAATAATTCAATATTTTTCTATATAGATTCTTTATTTTTTTTTTGTTCCTACTATTTCGTCTTTGCCATAAACACAATTGAGTGTATGTACTCTGCGCTCAAATCAAAGTCTCTCAAACTATACAAAAAATAAATGAATGGAGTGACTCTGTATGTGGATATAGAGTCAAAATTGCTTTGTTTGTTTTCGTTTACTGAACATCGACTGTAGCAAGCATAAAGGGGGCATTGAGCAATCTCTTTGGTGATAATACATACAAGTACCAACTACAATTGTGTGTGTGTGCTTGTGTCTGACTCTGAGAGAAACAAAAAGAATCTTTTTTTTTGCTGAGTGTAAGGAAAACCAGTTTCTTTTCTTCTTCTTGTTCCTTCTTATTTTTATGCTCTGCAATGTTTTATGCTTAAAGAATATCTTTTTTTTTTTGTAAGCTTTTTTGGGTACCACCCTTGTGATTGTTATGTACGGCGGTTTTTTTACTCGTGATTAACAAGAAAAAAGAGAGACAAAAGATGTGGAATTTTTTTCATTCTTCTTCTGCCGTTTTTGATTGTTTGAAGCTTTTCGTTAGCATAAAAAAAGCTTTGATAGTTTTGATATCAAAATGATGAGTAAACCGGTGCATTTATGTATTAGTTGGTAGCTTTATGGTCCACAATGTGATTTGGAAAATTTAATGAGCTCTTTAATAGATTAATCAGACTTAGGTCTTTAAATGATTCGATATCTAAAAGAATAGATTTATTAAATCTTAATTAACCGCTTTATATGACTATTGATGATTTTAATTTGATGTTGTTAAAGCATTATCTAGAAGACTAACAACTCAGTGTTAAGACTAGCTTCAATAAAGTTAAACTAGGTTTGAAATCACGAAAAGACGAAATTCAAAATTAAAAATTTTAATTTTAATAATTATTTTATCATGAGAGGTCTCTGACTCCTAAACTCCTTCTAATTATGCTCTCGCTCTTTGTGGTGTCAGATTAGAGTAAAATATCGAGTTATTTATAGGCGAATCTGTCAGTACGAGAGCTAGGCGTCTGTGGAACGAGTGGTTAGACAGTAGAACTGATCTCTGTACTCCTAGTTGATAAGCACGTGGGTTTGATTCCTATCATCGACTGATTTTACAATCATTATACAGACAGTGATGACCCATTCAAAAGTAGTAAGAGAAGCTGGGGTGAAAACTTTAAGAGAGTCCAAAACCCTCTTACCTACGCTGCTGAGTAGTACCCAATAAAGTTTTCAAACCCAGGATTGAAATGTTTGTAATCTCGGAATCAAACCCATGATTCAGTACATTTTAATCCCAGGATTGAAAACCCTAGTGTCACCCAATTATCACCCAATGATAAAATCTTCAAAAATCAATTAGAATTCTCAAAAATTATGCAAATAATTCTCAAAAAATCATGTCAAAATTCCAAAAAATCCGACCTTCAAATGCAGCATAAAATAAATAAAAATATCACAAATAAAAAACTTTTTATTAAAACAAAAAATAACAACCGCAAAAAAAATATCTCAAGGTCATTTTCATCTACCATCTTCATTAATTACCTTTTTAAATGATTACATCTAAAAATGAAACTTTAATTACATATACATAACATTACAGCATGAAGCAAGTCGGAAGAAGAAGTTGTATGATTCATCAACATTTCTTACCACCAGACACAGTCAATGATGCCTTTCATTTCTTCATTTCGCTACACAAAGACGAGAATTATATTTTTTTTTTGCAAAGAATTCAACACTTTAATATTTCATCTATCATTTAAGCTATAAACATTAATAATAAATCATTATCACATGTATGGAGCACATTTTCAGACAGAAAACTTTTATGTTGCTTATTTTTTTTTTCAATAAAGTCTGCACTTTTTTTTACTGCTCATTCTAAAAAGTCACACATAAATAATAATAATATGTGAGCTTTAGAACATTTACTACTACTCCATATTTGAAAACATTTATCAGCAATTTTATTTATGACTTGTTTGTATGTGTTTGAATTTTTATGGACGTTTTTTTTTTTATTTTTGGTTCTCTCACTGACTATGTGTGTTTGGGTTAGCTGCTGCTCTCTCTCAGTTTGTATGTTTTTATTTTTTTGTATGGATGGATAGTGTTGAGGGGTCTGCGATAGATGTGAGTTACTATGGGTTAATAAATATTTATTTAAATGCTTAATTTAATTTGGAATTGTTAAATATATAATTTAAAAATTTAAAAGCCATTGTACCTTTTGAATGGCAAAATGTTCCAAAATTGATTATTTTGGGTAGATGCTTTAAACCCTTGAGCCCCCGACCCCCCTTCTCAATTTGAAAAGCATCACTCAGAAATAAAATAACTATATAAAATGGATACTCTAAACTTGGGAATGGGAGTCTACTTCATGGTCAGAGACGTAGCTGGCGAGAAGATTTATAGTGTTCCAAAAAGTTTTCGACCTTATGAAAACAAACAAATTACTAAGGCGTGGAAACTCAGGATTAATCCTGAAAAATCCTAAAAATCCTAAAAAATCCTAAAACATAGAAATGTGAAATTATTGTTTATTGATAGATTCGATGAATAACTTCGGAATTTAAAAGGGATTTCACATTTTCATCTTTATTGGCTCAGGGATTTTTTAGGATTTTTGGGATTTTCCAGGATTAATCCTGAAATTCCACGTCTTGTTAATTACTTTTGTAACCCAACTAGTCCTAGAAAACCAGAGCTCGAAGTCAATGAAACTTTGTATGGAGTCAACTACGCTATAGAAAATCGATGAAAATCTCGAGTCAACTTCGCTCTGTTAGAAACTCGCCACTAGTCAGAGAAAAAAAAAATCAATTGATATTAAAATTGAAAATTTGACCAAAAGTTGTCGAATATTAAGATTTAAGCCACAAATCATCAAAATACTTATAAACGTCTTTAGTTGGAGATTTTAAAGCTGAAAAATTCAGAGGTTCAAATCCTACAATACTTAGTTAAATATATTTTTCCTGCATAATTATTTTTTTTTCATTTTTGAATGATTATTTCCCAAGTTGCCATTCCTAACTCTCTCAGATATAAACGAAAAATAAACTCTCTCATCACACACATAACTCCGCCCCATTTTGCACAAACATTATTCTCTCTCATTCTTTCGAGTTTCATTTTTTAAAACCACATCTTTCGTCTCTTTCGTTCTCATAAATTTCAATATTTTTACAATGTTTATTGCCTGCTTTACAAGCATTTAAGGAACAACTGACTTATTTAAAATATTTTTTTTGAGAAATTTAAATTGGAATATTTTTTTAAAGCTAAGAATTTTAATTGACATTATTGTGAATGGAATTATGTTTGAGGAATAATATTCAAAATAGTTGATAAGGTTGTAGATGAGTTTTTAGGATTATGAGGGTAATTTAGAGTTGAAATAGTGAATCAGAGTATTTTATGAAATACGCCGATGATCATTATTTGAAAAAAATTTAATTTTGATTTTTTGAAGTTTATTTAACTAGTTTTAAGTTCTAAAACTGAGTAAAATTCACAGAAACACCTTATTTTATATCAAATAATAAAAAACTCAAGAACAGCATTAAAAAAATTAAATTCTAGATAAACCAAATCCTTATCAATCCACAATAATCTAAATTACGTTTTTAATAAAAAGATAGTAATCACAAAATCCTCATCATCCCACAATTCCTCTCAATATTCCGCCAAAAAATCCATTCCAATCTCAATTATTCAGCGCAAAAAAACTCTTCTTCAATCCACTCATTTCCTTCTCATTTTAATGTCTCAATTAAGAATAAATTTCACATTCTCATTCTTAACTATTACTGATGATCATTATAGTGCGCTTAGAAGACGACCGAGTAGCAGCAAAAAATGAAATTCATTCACGATGTTAATGATACAAAATATATAAAATTCTCAGATCATCGACATCAGGTAAACAACAATAAAGAGTCAAAAGAAAGTAATGAAAAAATATCATGATTAGAATATTTTTCGCTTGTGCTCGAAAATTTCCATCAAATGACTTCATTCATTTTTCAATTCCTTAACTAACCATGATAATCATTTTTTTTCTATTAGTTTTTTGACTATACAATTATAAAAAAAACTTTAAT